CCCATCTATCCATCCCCCCACTCTTCCACCCATCCACCCACCCACCCATCCAGCCAGCCAGCCAGCCAGCAATGATTTATTGAGTATTTAATGTGTGCAAAACACTGTTCTAGGTGTTTGGGTTACAGCGATGAACAAGATGTGGTCCCTGACCTCACCACACTTACATTCCAGTGGGGGATCATGAAAATGTATCACGTCACATCAGGTAATGAAGAAAAACAAGGCAGGATCAGGGCTGTCGGGGAGAAAAGGCAGTGAGCACACACACACCTTGTGACGCAGGATGAAGTGGGCAGCTGTGGCGGCCAGTGCTCTTGATGGGTTTCCTCAAGGACATTGTTCAATAACCAACAGCTGCAAAAGCACATTGTGAGGAAAGACTTTCTTCGTGGGCTTTGGCTTCATACTAAAAAGGCCTTTGAGGGTATCTCTTATTTAGATTGAGAAATCACTTAATTTAGGGTATATTTGGCTGTTACACAAAACGTCTGGAAATAGTAGTTAAATTTAGACTGTGAGGTTGGGAGCGCCCCCACCTCTGGCACACAGACAGAGGGCTAGAAGAACCCAGATCTTCAGCTTCCTAACCAGCCATCCTCGCAAACACTTCTGGTTGCCTCCAGGCATTAGCAGAGCCACTGAAGACAACTTGCTCAGGGCCCACACTGCTGCTTTTGGCTGGTGATGTAAACAAACCAGTGCTCGCAAAACTCCTTCCAGCTTTAAACAATCACTGGGGCTTTGAAACTAAAGTCCTTCCTTTCTTATTTCTCAATCTAGTCCCCAAGATCTCTTTGAGGGATTGAAGTTATCTGCCTTTCCTTGCATTTGGGAACAAAGTAAGGAGGGCTCCTTGCATAGAAAGTCCCATCTCTCTCCTCTCCTGCAGACAGAGCGCACAAACATTCTACACCGCAGCCTGCGCTTGCTTATTCCTCCAGGTAGCAGAGCCTCAGCCTTCACCACAGGTGTGCTGAGCGCCACCACGTGGGGGGTGGGCACGGAGCCGAGAAGGTGCGTCGGAAGAGCACAGGGGGCCGCAGGGACGTGCCCGGCCGAGGGCTCCTCTCAGAAACTGGGGAGTGGCCAGACGGAGCCGAGGTGAGGGGTCGGTGGGGTTCCTGGGGCGAGGGGTGAGCAGCTGGGTCCAGGGTGGCTTGTGAACCTGGCGTCTGCCTTCCCCTTCCTGCCGCGGCCAGATTTTGTGCAGAGACTGCCGCCCGCAGGTGGGGGCCTGGGGTGGGCGGGTGCGGAGCAGCGGGGTCCCTGGGAGAGGGACAGAGGGGGCGGCGAGGGGGGGTGTGGGGTCTGAGGGCACGTTGTGGGGGACTGAGGGCAGAGGGCGGGCCCTGCGGAGCGTGAGGCTCCCTGGATAAGGGGGGGGGGTGTCACCTAAGACAGTGTGCTGACAGCGGCAGGGGGAGGGGCAACAGGGAGAGGAAAGAGGGGCACTGGGCGGGGGCTGCAGCCGGGAGAGGGGGGCTGGGGGAGAGGTGGGTTGCAGCCAGGAGACAAGGTCTAGCCTCCTCAGGTTGAGAGCACCAAGCTATTAGCAGCTGGGTCTCATTTGGGCTCCCCTGCCTGCCTGCTCTTCTCAGATTCCCACTTTTTCCTTCCACCTCTCCCTGAGGTTGCCCCGGTCCCCCTTGGCTTTCTCTCTTGTCTTTACACCATTAGAGAGCTCATCTCCTTATATCTACAGAAACCACCTGTATGCTCGTCTGCACAGATGCACCATCTGTTCTATCCTTTCAGGCCATCTCCATGCCAATCATCTGCAGACCCCTCAAGCTCCAGTAGTATCACATGAACTTGTTTCCCTTCAAACTGGCTTCTCACATGTCTCATTCCTGTCAGCCTCTACGGGAATCTTACAGCCATTTTCAGCTTCTCACATTCTTCCACTATTGATATCCAGCCTATCAAAAGACCTGTCAGTTCTTCCTCTGTATCTCTCCATGGTCCTCTCCTCTCTGTTCCCAGCTCACCCCGCCTCTCCCCACCTCTGCAGCCCCAGACTGAGCCTGCAGCGAGGTCTGTGTCAGGGCTTGTGATTGATGCCGGCTTTGAATGCTCACAGCCCTCCTTCCCAGGAGGACCTCGGCCCTTCACCAAACTCACCCACCGAGTCTCCTCTAGTTGCTCTATCCTCAAGGTCTTTCATTTCTTTGCACTCCAATTGTATTTGTAATCAGTACCACTCTAACCAGTGTTTGAAATTGCCCTTAGATATTTTATGGCGATTTCACATTCTTAACATCTAGATCCAATTCTCCGAGGGGGCAGTAGTCCTTCGGTGTCCCCCACAGATCCAAGTCAGCCCACATCACACATGCTCAGTAAGTACGTCTCCACCCAGAGGACCATATCTATATAGGCTTACTTTAGCAGAGTACTGAGTAATTATTTTTCTGTAAAAATGTTGGTGGCTCACTGAAAATATCCTATAAGATACCACACACTTCTCATCGATACTAGAAGTTTGTTTCTTAAATTACCTGACAATTGAATCATCTCTGACTTGACTTAGAGTATAATCAGGTTAAATGCTACCACCATTTCAAAATGACATGATTTATATATGTATATATATATAAATATATATATCCATTGCCATGGAGTTGATTCCAACTCATAGCGACCCTTTAGGACAGAGTAGAACTTCCCCAAAAAGTTTCCAAGGCTGTAATCTTTACAGAAGCAGACTGCCACATCTTTCTTCATGGAGCCACTGGTGGGTTTGAACTGCTGACTTTTGGTTAGCAGCCGAGTGTTTAACCACTTGCATGTATGTATATTGAGGGGCCCTGGTGGCACAGTATTTATATATATATTTTCCAAAAATATATATGACAAAACAAAAGTGATTCCAAACTCTTATAAAATTATTTGGGTCAAGAAACTGCCCCATAAATGGCATTGGTCATGCAGCTGATACATTGAACTATATTTCAAAGCAGAGTACACCTTACTCCTAACATGCATTACAAATGGTTGCCCATGGCAAAGTATAAGGCAAACAATAGGAAACCAGGAGTCACTGTGATCTTAGTGACGTCTAATATGGTGGGTACAGTTGTCAGATATATCTAACACAAGCCATACTTTAAGACTTAGAAGTTTGTCACCCAAACCAGGACAAGCCTGCAAAAGATAGGGCGGGGTGGGTCGAGACTTT